GAATATATAAGAACTTTGATTAATATACTTGAGGTGGATCATATTACTCACTGAATGAAAATGGATGGATCTAGAAAAAAGAAAAAAATATTGATTGAGGTTACCCAGACCCAGAAAGACGAATACAATATGTACTCACTCATAAGTGGCTTCTAGTCATAAAGCAAAGTAAAAACCAAAAACTCCAGACAAGCTAGACAACAAAGGGATCCCTAAGAGAGACATACATGGATCTACACAGAAAGGAGTAAGAGAACATTACTTCACAGGCATAGTCCACTGATGCTGTAGCAAGCTGCAGATGTTGCTTCAATCTATATTTTATTGAATATCTGTTAACATGGCTACCATGTACCATAGGATTTTTCTGGTAATTGCTTCTCTTTTTCACATATTCTACAAAACCACTATCAACCACTTCAAGGTCTCTGTGTTTTCTCAAAAAAATTTTTACAATAAAAGTTCAGGCTTGTTGTGTATTATAAAGAATTTTTTTTTCTGAGAAAAGCTTAAATGTAACCACCTAACTACATTGTGTCACTTTGGGTAATCACAATATTATGAATCTTCATATAAAAAATCTGTTTAGTGTTCTTCCATCTGTCAAGTTTTTGCATCAGGGCAGTCATCTTTTTCTGTGACAAACTGCATTAAAAGCTATCAGAATAATCTTTAAGAATTTCCTTCTATTCCCAATAGCTGAAATAAGAAATAGCATCTAAAATAATTCAGTCATCACTCACTGCTCAAAGTAGTTAATTTTGACCAAAACAATGTTTACCAAACATAATAGTAAATATGTATGATAAAAATAAAGGTTCATAAAGGTGAGTTCAATTTATAAATACTTACTTGCACCAATCATATGATGCAGAACAACAGAATCTTGAATAACTAATGTTGAAAAATTATGCAATTTTTATTATATATGTATTACCCTCGGGTCTTTCTTAAATTTATCATTTATTTCTCTAAACTTTTACCCCCTGCTTATGGTCTCAAGTTTTTCAATTGATAACCATTTTTGCTTTAGTCTTATACCCTGAAGATATCCTCAGAGGCCATAGATTACGTAGGATCTAGGAATAAAATCCCACTGGGTAATGCATGTTTATAAGTTCTAAAGTACACTTTATTAGCATATAAATTGAAAATAGCAACTTTGATCAGGTTGTTTAATGAAAAACACCTCTTAGTACAAGTGAAAAACTTTTTCTTAATCCAGGTTGCTTAAAAAACAACAACAAAAACTACTTATGTGGTTACTGCAAAAGGTGACAAGAGACAGGAAATCAAAGTGATGACTGAACCAATCAACCTTTTGAGAAAGTCTTATGTTAACTCTGGGAGGGTAAATAGCTAAATACATATGTAGAGCGAAACCCTTCCAATAATGCTCCTGATGTCAAGGTCTCTTGGGCAATAAAGACTTGGCTGTATGAAGTGCATTAGGCAGCAACCTTATTAGATACAGCATACACAATTAGCTCCGGGACTAACCCTTGGCTTTTCTTCAGTGACATTGCCACAAATCTTAGTTTTTCTAATAGAGAGGAATACAACTTTGATCAAATCTTCTAACTTCAATTTCTATGAGTTAAAAACATCCTTGGAAGTCTTGTTTGGTTCTTTTCACTAAGGAAATACCACCATGTAGCAACTTAAGTTTCCTCTTCCCATAAGTGACCATTTAAATCTTCTTCCAAGTACCATAAATGAAGATTAAACTGATTCTTTAATTATGCTTATTGACAGTGACAGTTTTAATATCACAAATATTATGGTTTATTTACACATCTAAAAGATTATTCATAATCTCAGTTCATCCTTAGTCATAATACAAGTTAAAAAGACATCTTGTTCTTTTAAGTAACCTCATGTCTAAGATGAAAGAGACTGAGCACACCCTATTGAATGAAACATGATAAGGATGCAATGAGTATTGATTTATATATAAGTGTTCTCAAGAGAAGAAACATCCAAATCTGTTAGAGAAATAAAGCAGTCTTACCTAGTAACCTAAAGACATTTTTGTTCTTTTGAAAGCACAACTTCCACTGTTATTTAAATTCTAAAACCATGTCAGTCATAAATAATAGGAATATGTGTTTCTCATAAGCTGGCAGCAGCTGTATTGTATAAAATCTTATAAGGATGCCCTTCATAAAGAAGAATTATATAGGAAAATTTATTGATGTAGAAAATACTGATGCTTCTTTATAAAACATTTAATTTAGAAATGTAAATGAACATAAAGGTCTGTAATTGAGTTAACAGGAATGCTTTACTAGTTTTCTAAAGAGGTTGTAACAGACATTAGCACAGTGGTGTTAAAGAAAACAAGCTTACCTTCTAACAAAGCTGGTTATCAAAAGTCATTCACTAAAATCAAGGCGCTGGCAAGGTTGCAATCCTTTGTAGAAGCTCCTATGTAAGAACCTAGTCCCTTGATGACTATTTGCTTGGTTTCAGGCTCTATACACTAACTTCTGGGCTTAGTTTGTGGCTACTTACCATGCAGATATAATATAATAGCCATCTGAAGGAGTATTATCAGTCTTTCCAGCCTTCCCTTATGTGTATATACCACATTGCTTTGTACATTATTTCATTGATGACATCTCTCTATAATAGTACATTTAATTAGATATACAGGAGAAAGCATATATTTTATATGATTATAGTCATGCTCCCTAAACCACAACTAAGATCCACTAACTAAGAGGTATATATTTTCCTTTTTCTGTTTTATAATGTCATTTCTAAAGGTACTATATAATTCAAAGAAGAAAAATATTTGACCCTTCTGTCTCTGGCTTTTAGTAAATTAATTGATGGATAATGCATTGTGTAATATATATATGTAATTTATTTAGTGCATAATTAATTATGTTGCTGCAATTTCTGTTATCCCACACATACATGAAGATATGAATGTATTTAGAGAGAATACTGTGCATAATTAGGTGCAGAGGGTCATGAGAAGCTTCTCGATGAAAGCATGCCTAACCTCGATGAGTCTTTAAAGCATTTGTGCTTCTTTCTTTTGCCTCTCATGTTCCATTCCTTTGTTTATTATGATTATTGAATTATTTAGTGAGTGAGTGAAAGGAGTGCGATAGGGTGCTTCTATTTTATAGTGCATGTCAATGTCAGTTGACAGTCCAAAGGAGTAAGTTCTTTCTTTCACCATGTATACTCCAGGGAAGAAATCAATTCATCAGGTTTGTTGACAAGTGTCCGAATATTGGAACAATCTTACTGCCCTCCTTATCTATTGTATTTGTATACTGCTTCTGTTATTGGATTTGAGTTTGGGCCATTAAAACTTCCTTTTCATAAGATAACTGGTAGTTTGTTTAGCATAAGTAAGCTTCTAACTGCTTTCAGTCCATTACGTTTTTAAAAGCATCATGCTTAGCCACATATGTTTATTCTTTTTATACATAGACTATTAATACATTAGGAACATCAAAAGCATAATTCACCTGAACGATTGATATATAAGTTCAAATGATTAAAAGTATTAATATGTTATGGTATTTAACTATAATGACTGTTATTATAGTTATTGCTATACTGTGATTTAACAACTGTGTTAATGGAATCTAGATACAGAAACAATGCACAAAAAAGACACCATTTTGATTCGATGTTAGCAAAGTTGTTATTTTTTGTCTTAATCCAAAATTTATCCAGTGTTTGCTTCAGGTGAATAATATATTTGAATTTAACTAAACTATGCAATTGGACTTTTATTCCTCACAGAACTGGTAAATTTTGAATACATTCTTTGAATAGATTCAAATTTTAAAATGTTTCCAGTCTTCAAAACTCCAATGACAATCTCTAAATTATTCCAAATATGTCATATTCTACCCAGAATGAACTCTCTAATAATAATGCAATTTAGTGGTTCTATACGAAAATTTTACCAAAAGGGAAAAGTAAGCTTAGAAATTTTGTGAAACTAAAAAAAAATGCCAGGATTTCTGGAATTCAAATTAATTTTTCATTTTTTTTATGTACAGAAGAAAATAAAAAAAAGAAAGCAAAAAGGAAAGTAATGGCTGTGTGTGTGTGTGTTTCAGTGGAACATGTTAGACACAATGTACTTATGTGATGATTATAAAATTTAATCTCAATTAACAAAACTTAAGTGCTTTTTATGAATTCATATATAAAACATTTATTTTTATGAATTTATTTCTAATCATTTTTATGAATATAATTTGATGTTGTCTTATCAGATTCTTAGTTTAATAATAAACAAGAATGCAAATGTATCAAACACAATCACTCAAGTGAGCCTACATCATTGGAAATAAGAACTGTCATAGTTTGTTTTAAAATTTAAAACTCCAATATATTTGCAATTCCCATTGGGCTTATTTGCATTTCTAAATCCAAGCAAAATTATATTTTCTTATTGCTTTAGAGGCTTGGTACTTTGGCTAGACATCTGTCCTACCTGCCCTTTGTAATCAGAATCCTAAACAATTTAATTGGTATGTTTTATGAAATTAGAGATATAACATCAGAAATGAATAACATTAACATTCTGTGTAATTCATTTCAATTTCATAGTCACTGTCAAATACTATATAAATGCACAGAGATAAACAAATGGGGAATAGATTAATAAAATTTGGATTTTAATGCCATTGCAAAATTACTAAATTGATGAAAATTCACTCTTTTTTGTTTGGACAGATCTGGAAGCTATATCGAAATATGCACTAGAGAACACTTTCATAGCTTTATGGTGTCTTTTATGGTGCCACTTCACATTCTGATTTTGAGAGGGAAAATTGCCCTGAAGGAGAAATCCTTCACAAAAAAAGGAAAGGGAACACAAGGACTCGGGGGAAAAAAAGTTTGCAACTGCAGAGAATGATTAGTACAAGGAAAAGAGGAGGAGACATCTGTTGGCGACATGATTTTTAGAGATAATTAAGTGCATTCATCCAGAAATAACACATATTATACATCGTTTGCAGGCACACATGGTTTTACTAAAAACAAGAGAGACTTTGAAAAGCCCACAAAAATAATCATCAGCTTTGATCTGATGTCACCAGAATGTGAGTACTCCTTGCTCAGCCTCATCTCACCCTTCTTTGCCCTTCTCACACTCCTTACAGGACTTTTATGGCAGTTCATGAACACTGCTTGCGGAGGTAAGTTTGATTGGAAGGTACTGTCTGACATGTGGACCTTGATCTTCAGGATTCTCAGAATCTTAGATTCATACTCTGTTTCAATGTCCTAGAGCATAAATGGAATTGTGGTCATCTAAAAAGGTCCAAGGATAGATAGAATTATTACAAAATGTGTTCCAAAGAATTAAAAACGGGTGTTTTTAAGCACAGAATAGAGCAATTGAGCAAACAGGATTATTTTTAAAGACAGTAAAAAATAGCCTCAGAAATCAAGTCGATATTTTCACCATTCTTGTTTATTGAATCCTTTTTCATGTAGAGCTTATGCCTTACATCTTGCCGCATGATGGTGTCTTGCACAGAAATTTGGCTATCACTAGATCATGAAACCTGAAATTCACTTAGAAATATAAGAAAGAATACTCAATAGATATGAATTGAAATATATTATGTGCTATAGAAAAGGTATGCATAAGGGAACCAAAAGACTTACATGCAAAAGTTTAAATAAAAAAGTAAATAAATGTGGAAGCTATTGATGCTCTCGCTTTAACTGAAGTTAAATATTAAAATAAGATGAATAGTACTTGCACACAAAATCTTGACATTTCGGCACTTATTAAAATGTGCCCCAGAGAGAGCTCTTTTCCCTAGGTCAGGGTCTTTTCCTATGCTCTAAGTCCTTTCACCAGAATGTTTACTGAGACTCTCACCTACAATAGTAAATCAAAAGAACAGAGCTGTATACACCACATCGCTTGATGCCAATGTACCACAAGTTATAGTAATCAGAAAAAAAAAACATAGAAGTGACATAATGTAGGGATCTAGATCAGTGTCCCAACATGGCAGAAAGCATTTTCAAATCATGCATCTGGTAAGCATTGATATCCCATGTTCAAAGGGAACATCAATAGTTGACAGCAAAAATAAAAACTAATCAGGTTGAAAAATGTACAAAACACTTATAAATCTAAACAAAAATATATGAATGACCAATAAATACATTAAAGTTCTCCACAAAGTTACAGTAGTGGCATTTGCATCTTGATGGTATCCAATAGCTATGTAATTAGACTTGAGTCCTGATCAACCAAAGGGAAATCATGTCTGATACTGTAAACCAAGACAGTTTCCTGTGATTGCTGATATAATGGATTTTAGAGGAAAACATACTACTTTCACTTTGATAAACCACATTCTAAATACAAATAATTTTATCCACAGATAACTATAGCTATATTTACTCATAAAAGAAGCAAACAGACACTATTACAGAAGGTCACAACTGGTCAAAAAGCAGAGAATTTCTGGCCAAGTGGCGTTAACTACGATACATCTACAATATAACTCCTACACCATTTGTCAAGGGAACACGAAGGAAGAAGAGACAGAAAGATCTAGAGAAGCAGGAAGTATGTTGCAGGTTTGTGTCTTATGCATAGAGGAGATACCACTTTGTAATCTCACCATGAAATTGCTTAAACAAGACCCATCACTGACAACACCAACTAACTTCACAACATGGATGGAGGGATCAACACATGCAACTAGTGTGCTAAATGATTAACTATAGAAATGTAAGGTCTTCTGCAAAATGTTCCTAAGTGAATAATTATAAGTAAGGATGTCAGAAATTTTGTTTTCCTTTGGGATGAGTCCCCTAAGTAGTAATCCAATAGTAAATATCCCCTAAATCATAAATATTTAAGGAACAATAAATAGAACAGGCTGATCATAAATAGTTATCTTCACACATGTGTGTATGTGTATAATAATAAATAATAAAAAAGAGGTCGAGTTTGAAAGAGAAAAAGGGGCTTTGGAGGGCTTAAATGAAGAAAGGGTATTGAAAGAATGTAATTATATTAATTAAATAAAAAGGAATGAAAGTACTCCCATATTATCAACCATTAGGAAGATATCTTAAAAATTATAATGTGGTTCTGGATATACGTCTCAGAGGATATTAGAACTAATTCTTGCAGTGGTCTTGGGCTCAGTTCCACATATCCAGCAATGGTGACTAACAACCTAACAACCATCTATAAATTCAGTTCCAAGTAATCTACTTTTGCCCTCCATGGGCACTTCACGCACACTGTGCACCAATAAAATAGGTGCAAACACCTACACATAAGTAAAATATAGATAGATTAAAAATATAATGAGCTATTTTATCATCCAAATTAGAATGGCTATTACTAAAAGAGAAAATAAGAGTTGGTAATAGATGTGGAGAAAAGGGGATTCTCATTGTTAATGATTACAAATCACTAGAGTCTCTATAGAAGAACATGATGTTTCATCCAAAAAATTAAAAGTAGAACAATTACATCAATGAATATCTCCAAAAGAAACAAAGTCCTCATGCCATTCATACATCCATCTTATCACTCTCCTAGTCACATTAGTTGTTATATGGAATGAACCTAAAATTCCATCAATTAATTAATACTCTCCCACACATTTTAATGAATGAATCCTTGTTATTTGGAAAATCATAAATAAGAATGAAAGTTGAATTTTCACTAGTCCCATCTATTTGATGTTAAATTTCTTGTCATTTTTAAAAGGTGAATAATAGTCCACTGTATAATTATACCACATTTTTTTTATTCTTTGGTTGAGAGGCGTAGGGGTATCTCTGGATCTTGAGGTAGACTAACTGCCAATTTCCAAGAATCCATCATGCTGTTTCTCAAAGTGGCTGTACAAGTTTGCACTCTGAACAACTACTGAGGAGTGTTCCCCTTTGCACCACGTCCTCTCCAGCATAAGCTGTCATTTGTGTTTTAGTTTTTAGCCTCTTGGGCAATTTTTTTTTCCTATTCAAACCACAAAAGTTTTATTCATTTCCTTCAACTGTTTGTTAATTTTTTTTCTTGGCTTTCTTTAATGGATTTATTCATTTCCTCCAATTTTTTCTGTTCTCTTTTTAAATATAATTTTTTATTGAAAAAAAAATTCCGCCTCCTCCCAGCCTCCCATTTCCCTCCCCGTCTCCCTTTCACCCCCCTCCTCCCTCTCCTCTTCCCCTCCCTCTCCAGACTGAAGGGCAGTCAGGGTTCCCTGCCCTGTGGAAAGTCCAAAGTCCTCCCCGCTCCATCCTGGTCTAGGAAGGTGGACATCCAAACTGGCTAGGCTCCCTCAAAGCCAGAACATGAAGTAGGATCAAAACCCAGTGTCATTTTCCTTTGCTTCTCAGCATCCCTCTTTTTCTGCCATATTCAGAGAGTCCGGTTTTATCCCATGTTTTTTCAGTCGTAGTCCAGCTGGCCTTGGTGAGCTCACAATAGATCAGCCCCACTGTCTCCGTGGGTGGGTGCACCCCTCGTGGTCCTGACTTCTCTGTTCATAAAGGAATCTCAGGGTTGTTTTTCATTTGCATTTCCCAGATAGCTAACTTTGTTGAACATCTCCTTCAGTGTTTCTCAGCCATTTGAAATGTTTCTGTTGAGAATTCACTTTTTAGGTTTGTATCCATTTTTAAATGAATTATTTGGGGTTTTTGATGTCTTGTTCATTAAGTTCCTTATATAGTTTGAAATCAGGCCTCTGTTAGATGTGGACTTAGTGAGGATCTTTTCCCATTCTGTAAGCTGCTGTTTTGTCCTGTTGACATTGTCCATTGCCTTACACAGCTTTTCAGTTCCACGTGGTTCCATTTATGAATTGTTGACCTTAGTGTCTCTGCTACTGGTGTTCTAGTTAGTAAGTTAACTCCTGTTCCAATGTATTCAAGGCTAGTCCCTCACATTCTCTTCTATCATGTTCAGCGTAACAGGATTTATTTTGAGGTTTTTGATCCACTTGAACTTGAGTTTTGTTCAGGGTGAAAGGTAAGGATCTATTTGCATTCTTCTAGATGCAGACATACAGTTAGACCAGTACCACTTGTTGAACATGTTTTCTTTCTCCATTTTAAATTTTGTTTTCTTTATCAAAATCAATTGTCCAAAGGTGTGTGGATTCATGTCTGGGGTTATGATTCTATTTCTGTGATCAAAGTATCTGTTTTTATCCCACTACAATCCTGTTTTTATTGCTATAGCTCTGTACTAGAGTTTGAGATCAGGGATGGTGATTTTTCTGATGGATCTTTTATATTACAGGATTATTTTAGCTATCCTGGATTTTTTTTCCTTATTTAGTTGAGTATTTTTCTTTCAAGATCTGTAAAGGATTGTGATAGAATTTTGGTGAGGATTGAATTTCTTTGGGAAAGATGCCTTTTTTGTTACTATTTTAATCCTACTAATTCATGAGCATGGGAGATCTTTCCATTTCTGATATTCTCTCCAGTTGCTTTCCTCAAAGACTTTAAGTTCTTATCATACAAATCTTTCACTTGCTTGAATAGAGCTATCCCAAGATATTTTATATTGTGTGTGGCTATAGTGAAAGATGAGAAAGAAGGATGTAACTTCTTTCTTAGCCATTTTATAGTTTATATATGAGAGAGCTACAGATTTTTGGAACTTATGTTACATCCAACCACTTCATTAAAGGTGCTTTTCAGCTGTTTAAGTTCCCTTCAGGGTCACTTTTATGTACTAACATACTATCTGCTAATAGAAATACATTGACATCTTTTCCAATCTGTATGCCAATGGTTTTGATCAGTTGTTTCAGTGGTCTAGCTAGAAGATTGCCTTATCTTGTTCATTGACACCCAGTTTGCGAGCTTCAGGCAAGGGGGCTGGAGGTTAAAATACACATACACACAGAGAGACAGCCACACGGGTCATCCTTGAATTTCTCAAGAATGTCCCCTTAATTGTGTTCAGGGGCAGATTATATAGAGATAGCCACGCCCCAGCCAAACCCACCAGAAACCACTCTCCTGCCATCAGGAACTCCTGAAGATCTTGTGCTCAGAGCAGCTGTAAGCACTCAGATTAGGGGATTACAAGAAATTC